CGAAGACGTCGCTTTCACTCCCACTTAAAAGGGACAAACTCAATTATAGAGCTTTATGTTATGCAAGTGTTGTGTGTGAGGAGAAATGTTAAAACCTCTAACAAACAAATAAAATAATTAATTCTTGAATATAATAAATAAATAAAATAAAAAATAATAATATATAAAAAAATAATAAGTAATAAAAAATTTGAAAGAAAAGAATTAAAAATTAAATATATGAATTTTTAATTTCTAACTGATAGAGACAATTTACAATTGATTTTAAAGTTTGACTAAGTCCCCAGCGGAGTCGCCAAGCTGTCGTAATCGGTTTTCGTCCGGGCACGAAATATTTATTCTCGGCGGGAAAATTGATGTGAATAAATGGTTTTGAAAATAATTTGGGAGTCGCCATCGGCCTTTTGGGTCAGGTAGGTCGAATACCTAAAAAATATCTTTTAAAAGAGTTTTTAAGAAAACATCAATTAAAAGATAGACTGATCTGCGTTTTAACCAAAAATTCGTTCTTTTTAATAATAAAAAGGGATTCGTGGTCGGTTACGGTTAGGGAAGGATTAGCACCCCTATAACGCCCAAAATTGGTACTTTTTAATTATAAATTGTCTCTATTATTATTAATTTAAAAATTCAAAGATATATTTAATTCATAATTCTACTATTTCAAATAATTTTAAGAAAATATATTAATATACATAAATAAGATATTTACTTATTTAGAAATATCAGAAAAGGGCTTCTAGGTACCTTAAGACAGCTCTTTTCTTCGATATTAAAAAAAATATATATCAAAATATGTTTTATTTTTCTTAAAAGTAATTTATAAAATTAAATTTATAAATAGGATTTTTATTTAATAAACAAATAGAATAAATAAATAAATATTATATATATTTATATAACTTAATAATAATAATAAAATAATCATAAAGATAATAATTTAAACATATATCAAAAGTAATAATAAAATAAAATAATAATAATTAAAATGAAAGAAAACAAAAGTAATAATATTAAAACTATTGGATTATATTCATAAATATATGAACCTAAAATGTAAAAATAATAAGACTTATGGTTAAAATTAAGATTATATAAAATTTAATGATCAAATTATAAAATATAAATATTTAAGAGACATGGTTATAATTATCATAAAATATAAATACTAGTAGTATAATTAGCCATTAATTATTTAATAGGTGATTAAAATAGAAATATTAAAATTATTAGGGACTAAATGTGATATTTATCCTAAATATATTATTTAATACTGGTAAGGACTAAAACATAATAAAATAAAATTCGAATACTGAATTAGAACATTCAGAAATTAGTTTTAGTGACTAAAATGAATAATTACAAAACTTAGATGGCTACGAAAGGGGTTTAGCCATACATGTAAATTACGCATATACCCCTTCCCAAAACGACGTCGTTCGGGAAGGGGTATATATACCCCTTCATAGCTGGCCCGAAGGGCCAGCAGCCTCATTGTTCTCTTCTTCTTCTTCTCTCAAAAACGAGAGAAGAAGCTCTCTTCCTTCTCTCTTAATTCCCTCACCGGAGGGAATTCTGGCGCCGATAGCCACCGCCAACCTCACCGCCGGCCACCGCCTCCGGTGGCCGGAAAATAAAACTTTATACCACAACGTAGATCGGATCGTCCTATGACGATTCCGGTATTTGTTTACCTTAAAAAGCTCTCAATCGGAGCAAATCTATAAAAATACCTTCGGTTTTCGAAGGTTTGTTGTGGAGCGTGGAGGCGCGTGGTTACTCCGGTGGTGGTGTGGCTTTCCTCGGTAAGGTTTCTTTCGATTTTTATCTCGTTATTTTAGTGTTTGACGGTGGTTGGATTGCTTGCTGTTGGTGTTGTTGTCTCCCGTTTTCTGGCTGTCCTCTTCTTTTTCTTGCAGGGGACGGTGGCTTTTATAGCCACCACCGGTGATGGCTTCAGACCGGTCCAAAGGATAAAAGGCCCGGTGAGTCACCATAGCTATGGTGGTGACTCACCATAGGGCTCGACGTGGGTTGCTTCGTGACGTTCTGGAGTGTCGGCAGCAGCTGTTGGACCACCTGGAATCATCAGAGGCGGCTGGAAGCATCTGGAAACGGCTGGCTGCTAGGGTTAGAAACCCTAGGGTTTTCAATCTGGAACCCTTTTGGGCCGTTGGATCTTGCCAGATCCAACGGCTGATGATGTTGACGGCGGCTGGCCTTCTGGAATCTTGGAGGCGGCTGGGGACTAGGGTTTGAAAACCCTAGCTGAAACCCCAAATCAATTCAGGGTTTCCATTTGGGTTTGGGATTTGATAACCGGGCCTCCATATTTGTAAAACGGGCCTCCGGGTCCTTTGGGCTTGTAATATATATATATATATATATTAATAATAATAATAATAATATTTAGTAATAATAAATTTAATAATAATAATAAAATTTAAATGAAAAAAATGATGTCTACAATCAGGAAAGGGAATTCACCGATGGACAAGAAAGTGAATTCTTCACCCCTATGTCTGGAGGATACCCTGCATCTGCCTCGGCCTTATCTTTATTCTCAGCCAAATACAAGAATCTTAATGCACCAACCATGCCGCCGAGCTTTCCTAATATACCATGGCAAGTGGACCTCGACCTTGCAGGGAAAATCTCAGCCGGTATGACGAATGTGGTGGCGTTAGGTCCGAATTCGCAAAAGTCAACGAGTACATAACGACGAAGCCGATTCGGTTCTCCTTATGTGTCCAATGCTTGTACGGGATAGCTAGCGCAAACATCTGGATTATCATTCTTTAAAATTTCCACTGAACAGATGCACCAGAGGAGGAATTAAGCAAACATCTGGGAATGGGTTTCGAGAAAAGCGTTCAACTCATAAGATTTATGTAGTTTGGCTTATGTTGTGTCATTTGATAAAAGCAAATAACAAGATATCTAGACTGAATAATTCAATAAAAGTAGGTCCATATAATCTTTAGTTGTAACATAAAGAGACCGAGAAATGCACATGGAATTTGGGGAAGTTGTAGTGTCTGATGTGATTGTTTCCTCGATATAATATTAGATGGAGCACAGCCAAATGGCTGGTAGACCCAAAGCTACCTTCTGTCTCTTGGTCAGAACATGAAATTGAAGATCATGATGATGGCCCAATTAGATGTGGCAAACGGGTCGTTGGGTCATGTCATTTTAAGTTGGATTTTTTTGGGTCTAGAATATTAAAGGTTTGATTTTAACCAGAATTAAATCTGATTCGGATTTAATTCATGTCTATAGTTTGGATCATGTGTACCTCAATAAAACAAACAAGCTCGATGAGTGAAATTTTGGACCAAGATGGGAAGTGAGGCGGATTGTTTGAGGATGACTGACTTGGATGCTTCGTCGTAATTGATTCCTTTGTTTCGAGGTTATTCGCGTTTTCTATATCAATCATTGTAAGTCATTGATAATTTACCTCTTTTGATTTGGAACGAGAATTACAACCAATATTTAAGTTGTAGACAAGTGTTCGAGTTTACCGTATCCATAATATGGGAGAGAACGAAGAATGAAGACAAAGATAACATATCATCCTTTTGGTCGAGAGGTTTTATAATGATTTTTAATGTAAATATGGGGCGTAGAAATATTATGGATACTTGTAACCTGACATTCCTAATTGATATGACCACTTATCAACTTTAGCGGGTCACAAGATGTGTTTTTATGAATCATATCAAACATTTATAACTTTTGAGAAATATCAATGAGAAATCGAATTAGAACTATCTGGATTCAAATTAGAACCCTAAATTTGCTCACGGTTTACTTCAAAGAGAGATCGAAGCATTAATTAAGGAACATATTTTATTTCCATCTCATTAGAAAATTAAATAATTAAATGAAGGAAGATTTAAAAAAAGTTGCTTACATTCGTCCTTCAAATTTTAAAAGTAATAATTTTTGTTTGTTTTTCAGTAACAGACAAGGGAAAGTAGAAGGTATTTCTTTGTCTGTAGTATCCAATGATATTTTAAGGAATCTATCTTCTTTTAGTTTATTATTTTCTAATAATTAAATTCAAGTTGTTATGTCGTGTCCTATCTGAAAAAGTTGACCCACATATAAAAATGCAAGTTGTTTGTAAATATTAAAATTTTATTTTAATCCCTTTGAGTGTGTGATTATCCAATTTTATAGTACGAAGCTTGTTTAGTTCAATATAATTTATTAGTTTTCCATTAAATAGATATTATTTGATTACAAATGTATTTTTTTAATAAAAAAATTGATTTAACTTTTTCAACAAACTTTAAAAAGATCACCACCACTATTGATGATTATGTGAACTTTTATCACATCGAGCTAAGAGTAATTTATAACGATTTAAACCTTAATACGAAATCCAATGTCAATGTTAATCCACTTAATTATCCACACTAAACACTTTATAGTATAGACATTGTTTACCCGACATTTACCTAAAATATTGTAAAAATCAATTTCAACATTTAAAAATATTGCAACTAAAATATTAGAAATTAAAAGATGATTTATGCTTTTTTTTAAAGTATTAGAAATTAAATTTAACTTTTAACTAAATGAAAAATACAAATATATTTTTTTTATTGTCCCCTAGTTCCAAAGTTTCGCACTGATTAATCTGGATCAATCCGGGTCGCACATCTGAAGGACTCGAACTGAAATCTTGCTTACTTGATATCAAGCTGCTTATCACTTGAACCAAACCCTTTGATGAACCAAACCACTATATCTCATACTTTTGATATAATCAAGAGTTTATGTCATGATTTGTTGACCATCAAAATATTAGTATCATTTTCTTAAGTTGTGTTGCGACTATATCGCCAACATAATCTTATAATGTCTGATTTGAATGTTGAACGAATTTGTAAAATTTGTCATCTCAAGGTAGACTACTTCAGAGGTCTTTATAATGTCATGAAGGATGGATTTGGTGCAATAATTGAAGCAAAGATGGCATGTATTTACATTTGTATTGTTTTCAAAGTTTTGACTTTACAAACAAAATGGTACAAAGGAAAAGAAGAACCAAAATCCGATAAGGATTAAATAATTAACAAGATTTAACAGCTCTCAGCTTCAAACCCACCAACAAAGAGTTGCAGACCTCCAGGATTTAATTACATCAAGAACAATTGAGAAGAGAGAAAAACCCGAATTCTTTTACCAAGGAGAATTAGTCTCACATGAATTAAGCAGTTGCTCCAAGTAATCAGCTCCTAAATCCTCCAACACCACCAAATTCTGTTGTTGCCTTGCCTTGCCGGCCACCTCCTTCTGTTTGTTCTTCCTCCTCTTTCTCAAGCAGTGCCTCTTCTTCAGAGCCACCACCGGAGAACAACCTTCCTCGCATCCATACTTGATGTCCTGAAGCGATTGCCTCACCACTTCCACCGGAAAATTAAGAGTAGCCAATGCCCCTCTCATTGAGAATGCCGCTTGGTCGTACGCGATCGCCGCCGCTTCGGCGCTGTCGAATGTTCCGAGCCACACCCGAACGCCATTCCTCGTCGAGTCTCGAATCTCGGCCGCGTATTTCCCCCACGGCCTCTTCCTCACGCCTCTGTAACTCTTTTCTTTCTTAGTACCGTTTGTTTCTTCGTGTTTAGTAGCACCCGAGGTGACCTCTTCTTCTTTGACGCTGTGGGTGGAATTGGACTCCGATGATTCTTTGGGTCCATCGGCGAATGAACCCAGCCAGTTCATTTCGACTTCGTCGGCGCCGGTGAAGACGAAAGGAACGGATATATCGTAATTAAGAAGCTCGTCCCAGCAACTGGACCCGAACGATGATTCTGGGGAGAATTCTGAAGTGGTTGAGTATTGGAACAAAGTGGATCCCTCCATTTTTGTTGGGATTTTAACTTCTTGCAGGAGTTTTCGATTTTTGAGGTTGTTGTTCTGTTTTGTGGCGAACGAGGATCTATGTTTTGGTCTCGGCAACGTTTTGAACTACTTTTAACCCTTTATATACTACAAAAGGAAGGGCGGGTTTTGAGCAATAATTTCTTTTCTCATTTTCATTCTAAAATAAAAATCCGGAGAGATAAAGGATTATTTACGCACGTGAGTCAAAAGTGACGTACGGCGGCGGGGGTTGGACCCAAACTTGCATAGGAGAGGATGCACCTACCATGTCAGCAATACACTTCGGCTTCTTTTACCTACGTGGCAGCCATTTGTCAATACAACGTGGCACGGATTTTCCTGATTTTTAGGAAGAAGCTTTGAGAACGTCAAATAGAAATGACGGTTGAAGTTTATCAACAATGGATTTAGAAATATTTTTTTATGATTGACATATATATATATATATATATATATATAGGTTAATAATATATTTTTTTTTAAATGGAATGAGTGTAAATAAAATTTTAAGGTAGATATTTTTTATAAAATAAATAATTAATCAAATAAAATTTAAATGTTAGAGTAAATATTATCAATAAAATAAATAATTAATAGAAGAAAATTCAGATTTCAGTATCCGTCCTCTCTAATATGTGGCTCCGCCACTGAGCACATTTATGCAAAATGAATTCAATTCATAATTTAAGAAAATTACCCAAATAGAATTTAATTGAATAAATTAATTAGTATTTTACCAGAAGTTAATAATTGTATTTTTATAATTATTCTGCCATTCTACGGGCGTCCGAAAATAATTTTAATAAAACATATAGTTGTGAATTTGAAATATCTATGAATAAATGAACTTGAATTTTGTTCTTTTTATAAATTTCAATTATATAATCCTACCGAATTAAAATTGATTTATATTTTATTATCATAATTTATATAATGAAATAAAATGTGAATTAGATTATAGTTAATGATGAGCCATTTCCATAGAAAGAAACAGAGGTGTCCATTTGCCAAAGTACTAGATAGATTAATTTTGGAAATCAAACGCCTAATTGTCCTTTATTGATTTAAAGGGTGGGAAAATAGCTTCAAGACACGTACATGTACAAAATTAATGTCTTTAATGCACTCTAAATTATGGAAAAATATCATCCAAATGTGATATCAGATTCTCTCTGTCATGAAACTAGGGACCACTTGGCACTTGCCTCTTATTTACGTATAAATTTAATTCACATTTTCTTCATGTAAACTGCCTTTTTTTTCTTCCTCTTTGCATGCATAACTAATTATCGCTTCTAAATTAATTAAAGCATTAATTAGTTGTACCAAGCAATTTTTAGGCACATCAATGGACAAAAGTTATTAATCAATCACTTTTTTTAATGGTTTTTAGCGAAAAACATTTACCAACTTATTACAGGTGTGTTATCCAAATGTTTAACTCGACAATTCTAACATCAACACGAATAGGATCTAAACAGGATTGAAAACGTTGGGCAGATCCCCATAATGTGTATACGTAATGAGTCATTTTTATTCATCAAGCTAGCTCTAATAACCTAACAAATAAGAAGGGAAAAACAGTGGTTGTTGAATTTAGTTGAACCATCCGTACCGGGTAATATAAGACAGTGAGGAAGAATGGGTCTAGGTTCAGCCTTCCCATCTAGTTGTGGATAAAATTGGTTGATTTTAAGTTAAGTATCTTTGTATTCACATTAATACCTGAACTTTATAAATAGAATGATGTTAAAATGTTGAGTTACTGTGTTTATAGTTTAAATGTGATTAAGTAATCAAACATGAATTAAAAAGAGGAACATCTGAAGACTTTTAAAAGTAAACTAGTCCACTTTGTGATGTCGATCCGTGCTTCTGATTTTACCCCTCAAAATTTCACTCGGTAATTATTCAAGATAGGGACAGAAAGAAACACATGCTAAAATTATTGACTTCATATATTTATAATAACAGTCCTTAGTAAAAAAAAAAATAGGGCCCGTTTTTCATTTATCCTTGTAAGCTATCCTGATTAAGCTGCAGTAGTATTCTCTATTAATATTAAATGTAATGGTGATTGAGTTTGATTTGAACTCAACAAAATTACTTTTTTATAATTTAAAGTATTAATATAAAAATATATTAATAATATTTTATGATGTTTTGAACAATAACCCTAGACGGAAACAAACTAAATGCAGGTCTAAAGTCTAAGATTGAAATTAATTTTATAGTCAATAAACCCTATACAGAGGGACGTCCCTTCCCCCCATTTATGGGACGAATACATATTAGGAAACTTCCATCACGTGACAAAGAGTGTGGTAAGCAATTAGGTGAAGATGAACAGTACATTCGTAAATTGACCATTTTGATTTGAATACTGTTTTGCGTTAGGCCCCACAACTCCAGGAGTCATTGTACATGGTCACTACCTCCATTACATAACAATTCTTATTTTAGTCCATCACTATTTCTTTATTAAGCCCTCAATCATGACCCCATTTCCTTGTATCTCTCGACTTATCCCCTTCTTCTGCCCTCCGCCAATCAACTATCCTAGTTATCGGCTCTTTTTCAACTCGCTCCCACTACATATTTAGAGGATTGGATTCCTATAGTTATTTTAAATAATTCAATATTAAAATTCTGTATTTAATTCTTTTGATTAAATGTTTTAAAAATAATTCTAAATTTTAAATATAAAAATTAAGGCTAAAGTACACGATTACTCATTGAACTTAACTCTCTCCTATTTCATTCATCGTACTTTTAATTTTTTTTTAATTTGCTCACTGAACTTTAACATTTAACTTTTTTGATCCCTCATTTGATGACATGGATTATTTTATTATTTTCCCATAAGACATGTCATATTTTATTAATATTTTTAATACTAAATATGATTAAAACAAAAATAGATTTGAAAATTACAATTATGCCCTTAAATTATACCCAAAAATTCAAATTATACCCCAAACCCTAGTCCCCAAATTACAACCCCACCCACCATCACCCTTGACAACCCTCCCACCGGCGGCCACCCTCCCACCGACGAACGGTCAAGTTGACCTCTTCCCCTCGCCCTCTTGTTCATCTCTCACGACCCTCAACCAAATCAATCAACACAACCATGGAATTAACCCTTTGTTGATTTTACTTCAAAACGAAAACCCAAGTACAAAAATACAAAAAATTCCAACAAAGAAATCAATGATTCAACACCAAAGGGGGAAAATAAATTACTTCGACTTAACCAATGATTCAACAGCAACAAAAAAACGACCACCAGAGATCACTGTGGGAGCCACGATCGTAGCCACCGCCAGTGCTAATCCAAACTACCATGGAAACCTGAATGTGGGGTAATTTTAATTATAGGGTTTGGAGGTATATTTTAATATTTTTAAATTTACTTTTTATTATAATCCTAAATAATATTAAAATATTAATAAAAATATAACATGTCATATGGAAAAATATTAAAATAATCCATGTCTTTGAACGAGTGATAAAAAAAGTTTAATGTCTAAAATTTAAAATATTTTTTAATATTAATGAAATGTTGATGGTTAAAATATTTTAAAAAATATCAAAATAACTATTTAGTCATATATTAAAAATATTTTTTCATATTATATTAAAATAATTATAATTTTTTTCTTCGTTTTTTGTTTAATATTACTTACGATTCTAGAGTGATTTTGACCTTGAAAATATGTTTAAACGTAATGGTAAATGAGACTCTAGTTCCACCGGGTAAAAGAATTAAAAAAAAAGGAGCAGACAATATACATGAGATTGAGATTGGGGATAAAATTAAACCTAATATAGAAATGGAAAGAAGAAGCACTTTGGGTTTCATATTGGGGCCAATAAAAATTCCAACGGTGAAAGCGATCTGATGGCAACTTGTTGGTGATTTAATAGCAAAGTTACACGGATGGGGCCCGTCGGCTGGCCATTTCATCTCAATCCAATTCATTTGGGAAAAGGTTCATGAACTAGGTTATCAAAGCTGCATAAAAGGGGAGTGAATGGGCACAGTTATTTTCTTAAAATTTTCTTATATTTTTATTGATTTTATTTCTGTTATTTTAAATTTTATAAATTCATTCTTAACATTTTATAAATTTACGTCCACTCTAATATAAAATTTTACGTTTGTCGATAGTAGCTTTAATTTAAGTGTTGGTATGAATTGGTAGGGGAGCTTATGCTTAGCTTTGCATACATGTAATAAAATGTGATAGCTTCTGACAATCATTATTAATTAGTAATATAAAATGATGACAATCCTATTCATCATTGTTGTATCATGGCCACATTCAGTGTTTCATGCTCCATTAAGTGACAACGCCCTCAACCTTTTTGATTAATTAATGATAATAATATCATAATCTACAATTATGATCTATTAACCTATAAAAGATCAACAACAATCCAATGTATACTCAAACAAGTCAAAGAATTTTGAGTTTGAATTTTGATTTTATTCTTTTGGAAATAAAGGACCCAATTGCAGTGAAAGAATAATATAAACTAAGGTACCTGATTTTTTTTTGTTTTTTTTTTTTGTTTTCTTGGATTAGTCTACAACGAATTTTCATCATTTAGTTGCTTGCTGCCATTGACATATTCCATTTGGCCAAAATTGTACCAATTAATTCACTGCTTCCACATGTTATAAACTGCACGAATCTATACATCATTTTCATCCTTCACTACGTATCAACTATCTAGAACAAGTTAAAAAAACTGGAATGCCAATGAGTCATTCCCCAGCGACGTTAATGTTTTGAGATCTTAAATGTATATGTTCAAGTTCTATCAAACATAACTTTATATACACGTGCACGAACCAAATTACCTTAATAGTTAAAAGAATGATTGTTATTCTTAGATGTCATGGGTTCAAGCCCCAACGACTGCTTAGATTTAAATTATTCTAATTAAAATTAAAATATATTCTGATTATCAATATATTCATTTATATTTTATATATTTTGTTTATCAATATTTTATTATTAAGTTAAGGTGATTACAAAGTAGTATATGTTTTA